ATTTCATCCATGAAAGCTTTTAAATTGATTAGAAAGGGGTGTAAAGGGTATCTATGTTCTGTATTGACTATACCTACTGATGATAAAACTGATATGAACAGTATTCCTATAGTCAGAGAATTCCCAGATGTTTTTCCAATGATCTGCCAGAGGATTTGATTGAAAGGGAGATTGAGTTCACCATTGATGTGATTCCAGGTACACAGCCAGTATCTAAAGCTCCTTACAGGATGACACCGAACCCGCCGCCACTACCACCACCACCCACTCGCTACCACTCACCACCCGCCACCATCACCCACCCACTCACCCACCCACTACCACTACCACCCACCCGCCACTACTCCACCACCACCAGCTACCCACCATCCACCGTCACCACTTTCCACCTCCGTCTTCCGCCGCCACTTGCCACCACTTGCCATTTCTCACTCTTTTTTATATTTTTAAATTTTTTAAAATATTTTGTCAATTACCAAACGTGTTTGTAGTTTATGTTTTTCTAAAAATAAACAAAAACCAGTTTATAAATTTTTTGTAAATATAAACTGAAAACGTAAACGTTACCAAACACACCCTAAACTTTTTTTTTTTTTTTAATACTATGTTTGGTTGAGAAATTTGAGAATGAATTTTTTTTAAAAAAAAATAATAGGTGAAATGTGAATATAATATACTTATATTTCATTTAATTTTACACATCTTTTCTCTTTCTATTTTTAAATCTCTTTCTAAATCTCTTAACTAAACACAGTATAAAGCAATCCGCCAATTGTTTGACTTTTTATCCACATGGCTGTAATTTATAATTTAAAATAAGCAACCAAAAAAATGGGCCAATTATGGAGCAATTGGTTTAAATCTTGAGGTTCACTACATTTATATTTAAATTTTATAAGATTAGTATTAAGTGTCAATTTGTAAAGAATGTATAATAATTTAACAGTAATGTTTGATAGCCTGAAAATTCATGACTTGAATGTGTCAAAATAATGTCGTTTTAAGAATAAAATGACGTCATTTTGATACATTTTATCCATTTAAGTCACATAAATTTATATTACCAAACATTTTTTATACAACTTTTTTAATAAGTGCGTTGGAGATACATGTTCACAAAACCCAATAGGTAAAACTCATCGTCAAATTAAAAATTATTACGGGACTCAATCATAAATTTGGAGGTCATAGTTTTCAAGTGACACTAATGACTTCTTGACTCACTCGATACATGAAACTTGTGCCTCATTGGAGAGGAGTAACTTGGACACATTCAACCGATTCAAGTCCAATCTGCAAAATTTTGAGTTTAAACAGTATTATTTTAAATTTAATTAAAAAATTTCAAATCTAAATTAAATTTGAATAGGACTAGAGCAGGGCTAATACCCAAGCCACCCGACCTATCCAAAATCTATTTTTACTATATATAAATTATTATTCAGATTACATCATACTGCAATTGTAATATTCTACTACTTGGTACACTAAAACTAATTTTTTTTATTATATTTCATGTGTTATAATTTCTTTTAGAGATATTTTTCTTTTTTATTTTTAAAAAGTGCAACACATTAATTTAATACAAATGAAGATAATTTTTTTATGATTAAACTTGATTATCCCAGCCTAACTCGAATTTTTTTGGAGATAAACTCAACTCTGAACAAACAAGTTCTAGCAAAGGTCATAATCAGGTTAAGGCTTGGATAGGGCAGAATCTAGATAGACACTCCGCTTAATCATAGTCGTCAAGTTGCATCTTTATAACCTTGTTTAGAAAGTTGACTATTTTACTGTTTAACTATTTTAATAGGTTAAAATTTTTGTGTTTAAGAAGATAGTTAATTTTTTTTTTGTGGTTGGATGTGATATTTGTGAGAGAAAAAATAAAATGATTATGGATTTGATGTAATATTTTATATTATTGACTATTTTAACTTATTTTTTCTTTTTGTAAATTTTAGTCTAAAAAGTCAAATTTTAGCCTTTGCCAAACAATATGAAATTTATCCACCAAGGAAGGGTCGAGCTAATGTCATTAAAAAAAAAATTTAAAATTAAAAGATCTCTTCTTATTTACAAAATCTCACCCATATCTTCTTTCCCAAGTTCTTTAAAAACATAGCAATTAACAAGAAAGTCGATCAATGAGGATGTGATTTAACCAAGCCTAGCTCAATTTATTTGGCAAGAACTTTTATATCTCACTAGAAAATTGTGATTAAATCTCTTCATCTACGTGTATGTCTTATTTTTTGTACACATTTATTGAGATTTTATCTCATTTTAATAATTTTTTTGTACTAATTATAAATTTTATTTGATACTGTAATTCATTGTAAGATCTTTATTAATTAAATAAATAAATAAATGATGCCGTGATTGATGTTGAAGATCACATGATCGACCATGTTGATTGATGGTGGTACCGTCTATTTGTCCTTTTTTACTTTTTCTTTTTCTTTTTTTTTTTTTGGGGGGGGGGCAATTGGCACCTGTTATTTTTTATATTTTAAATAAAAAAATATTTTCGGAATTTTTTACTAATCTCTTTTGAATCAATCAAAAAAAAAAACAAAAAAAGGATTAGCAGAGATCACTTGATTTCATAGTGAATTTTTTAATTGCAGCTAATAATAATAAATAATACTAATTTGATTATAGTCTCATCATATGGAAGGTTGTAATTAAATCATCATAAACAAAGGATTGAGAAGAAACCTTGGGGAAAGAAAATAATAATAAAACAGATAAATTACACTCACCTCTTCTGAGATTTAGAAAAAATATAATTAATCCTATATTTTTAACATAATCATACTAATCTTTCTTTTTATAAGACTAAAGAAACCGAAACTAATGCAGATAGTAAATAGACACTAAAATAAACAAACATTTTTTTAATAAAAAAAAAAGACAACATCATTTTATTTCATTCATATGATTAATAAATTACAAGTGAAAAATAAATAAGAATATTATGCATATTAAAATCTCAAGAGAAATTAATGTAATTATGTTAAAAATGTGAAGTTAATTGTATATTTTGCAAATATCAAGAGGGGTAATTATGTCAAAAGTGCAACTAACTGTATTTTTTTTACAGTTCCGATTGGTAGATCGAAAATAGAAAGACTCGAATGGCCTGAGTCCAAAACGACGTCGTTTTGGATTTTTTTTTTTTTCTTTTTCTTTCTCGTTTTTCTAAAGATAAAGAAGATGCAGGTGAAGAAAAAGAGACAAGAAAGAGAGAAGAGGGAGCTGGGAAACAGAGAGAGAGAGAGAGAGAGAGAATTAACATCTTCATCAACACATCATCATCGTCAATAAATTTTTTTTTTTTTTCCTTCATCTTCAGATCTAGATCTACTAAAAAAACCAAAGTAGAGAAAACAAAGTCTGGAAGAGGCGATCGACGCCACCACCGGCAGAGAGAGAAAGACGTCGCCATCATCGTCGATCTTCCTCCTCTTGTATTCGAAAGCAAGAAAAAGAAAAAAAGAAAGAGACTACCCAAAACGTCATTTTGGGTATTCAAGCCACTTTTGAGCCAACTTTTTTGAGCTACGAAGTATTATTGTTTTTTTAATACTCATAAAAGTGAGTGCAACTTACCCTGATAAAAAAGTAAAAACAAAAAAATTAACTTCCATTTTATTCACTTTTTTCTATAATTTTCCTTTCTATTTGCAAATTGCTCTATGAATTCATGATTTAATTAATGACTTTTAGATTTTTTAAAATTAAAATATGAAATAAAAAAATTAAAATAATAATCAGACAGAATTAGTCGAATTGACGTTTTTAAACCTAGAATCAAATCGTACCCTTTCTAGAATCAAACCAATCAAATCTATGGAGATCAGATTGATTTGGGTTTTTCGGGTTAATTGCGGACCCTACTTGATGGGTATTAAATTCTTGAGTCTTTGGTGAGCTGTTGTCGAGTGCTAATTAAGCAAGACCTTGACGTGAAACTAAAGAATTACACTATTCTTGTTGGGTTGTGAAGTTTTGACTTCTCTCGAGTCAATTCCTTTTGCAAAATTAAATAAATCGGAGAGAATTGATTTCGTACAAAACACCGAAATACTATATTTTTTTGCATTTTTTTATTATTATCATTATTTCATTTCATCCACTTTTTGGAAGACATTTTTATAAAAAAAAAATTAAAAATTCTCTATTGAAGTAGACAGTACTATTTAGACCCTAGGTCTCACCAAAGGTTCTATTAAAATGATCTTATTCGTTTTATGAACAATTTCCATACAAAAGCCTAAAGATGAACAAGTCAGATCATTAGAGTAAGTCTTGTAGTGATCCCAATGGACCAAGATATATCAATATGTTCCCTAAAAAAATAGTGTACAACAACAAACTCACGACACCAACGTTAATCAAACTAGGGGAATATGGAGAACTACCTAATGCTGCTTGCTCTACCTGTTGGGTTTGCTTCTAAATTTCAGGACAACTTGAATGATACAGGGAAAAAAAACATGTGACTAAGGAACACCAACCAGTTCTCAATTCAAACAAATGATTTGCATCAAGGATATGAACTTACGTACCTTCATCTTTGATACCAATGGCTCAAACCCACGTTCATTGTTCAAAGTCAAAAAAGGCCCAGTCTGTTTAGAATTCAACTCTTCCATCTGCACATAAGGTTGAAGAATTAGGTAATCATCCAAATGAACGGCATTAGCATAGCTCAATGGGGCTCAATACAAGTTCTGCTACCAATTAATCAAGTCAAAAGAAGACCAAAAAAAACTATATGCATTACAGCTCTAAAGTAAGTATCACCTAGACCACAATCCATTGAATTTCCCAGGACCATGGAACATGGGATGCACTACAATCCAGTAAAACCTTTGGTTGTCGCCACTAATGACAGAAATTCAGTTGACTTCTACACAGTACAACTCACCTCACGAGAAGGCCTCAAAGTTCAAGGGTTTCACAAGCCAAGTGTTAGAAGGCGGACTTCCTTTAAAAATCTTTGAAGTTGAACAGTATTCTTTGGCTCTTTCCTGCAATAGAATTAACAATTACATGACAATAAAAACAGAATGTTTTCCATAATTTGATTTACCAATTTTATTTTTATTTTATTTTATTTTTTTTTTTGCTTTTTAAGTTCTAGACACAATTGATCAATACAATTTCGCTTAATTTATCAAACGTAATTTGAGCAAGAACCTCGACTACATCAACAGAATTCTTGCACGACAAAAAGGTCCAGAGATCCAAATATCAGTCTCAAGTTAAAATTTGAAGCTCCCCGTGACAAAAACATACAATTGAGAGACGTAACACTCAATAGCACTTGATTCAACAATGTGATGGCATAATAAAGCATTATCAGCCAGCTAATTCATTAACACTACACAAATTGGTTCCACTACTACCAATATCGTCTAACATTATCCTCCAAAAAAGCTAAGATAACCTCAAACCACATTGGCCTGGTTGTAATTATTTCAAATCCTCAATTTCACTTTCGGTTTTCATTTCAAATACTTCAAGAACAAAAACTACCACAGTTTCAACAAAGTGCCATTTTCAGGCCCTGTTCACTAGGTAATGGACTCGAGGTCATGAAAAATGCAGAAAACTAGATGGGCCATATCAGCAAACCCTACAAAGCGATTAGGATCACCTTGCCTGTGAGGGACTAAGAGCAACAACTTAGTTGTATATAGAAAAAAACAGTTGTGTCTGATCCTTTGTTGTATATATATAAAGCTTACACAGCCTCTGATTACTAATAACACCACCAACATATTTGATTCTATCATGACATCATACAACACCCACAAGCATGTGAACTACGGTAGTACAGTTAAACTTGAAAAATATATGCATAACTGTTTCCAGGATGTTAAAGATTACCTTCGTTTCTCTATAAGAAATCTCATTCATTGGGCACTCAGCTGCAAATTCATGCTTTAGTGACAAAAACAACTCCAACAATCGCTTCCTGAGATATTATTATCAGAAATTATTTTCATCAAAGAATAAGAAGATGATGAGATGACAACGGTGATGATGATTATACAAATTGTGTTATGCCTTTAGCAATAAATTATTGGTAGCATGCTTGTTGGCTTACTTGCATAAAGATGATTCAGTAGAAGGGTATATTGCCCCTTTTGCAGAGGTGCCTTGCTTTCTTCCAGTGGTTCCAAGAATGACTTCATGCAAGCCAGACTTGTTCCAGCATGTTGAATACCTGTGAATGAATGCATAGCCAGTCTAACGAAAAAGATACAGTCCCAAAATAATTTCTACACCTTGATCTGGTGAAATGAAGCAAACTTACCCACATGTTAAAGTGGCCGTAGCAGTCTCAGAATGCTGAAACTCCTTTGGTGGTATTGGAGCCTCATAAAATAGCGGCTGCCAATTGTAATAGATAAAATTCATCATAATTTCATTCATTTCCCACAATGCAAAGATAATCATGCACCTTTTTTTCTTTTTTGCTTTTTGTTAGTAATCATGCACATTACCACCTTGTTCACTTCAAAAGGACTCGTTATCTTATTTGATAAAGGGAGGATCCGCTCATATAAAGCTCTTGTCAAGTGATCTACTACGGGAATATTTTCAGATGTATTATGGATTTGCCCGACAGTTATGGTAGAAAGGTAAACTGGTTGAAGAAAGTAAGAAAGCAAAGCACCTGCAGGTAAAGGAAGAAAGAACTTGACACTTAATTCATATAAAAAAAAAATCACTATATATCATCAAATGAAGATGTAAGACAACTCAAATTTTCAAATATTAAATTATTGACGTACAGATGTGTGCTATAATTCCATAGATGTGAAAGTATCATGATTGTACTTGGATGCAAAAATGAAAAATAAAATAAATAAAAATAAAGTGAACTATTTAATTTTCTACAAAACCATATTAATAAAAGTAATATTACTTAAATGGACATGCTGGGGAAGGTAATGCAGGGGACAATAGAATGCAAGGAGGTTACGAATTTGGAGAAGAGATAGATAAGGAAATCTTATGCAATGTTTGGTTCACTGGAATGAAGTTAGAATGGAAGGTTCATTCTATCGGAATACCCATTCTCATGTTTGATTCAGTAAAACATAAACGAATTTCCATTGGAAATGGAATCACCATAAACCAATTTAGGAGAATGCTCATTCCATCAGGAGGCCAAGAAATTGTCATTCTATTCTTGTCTAAAATTATTCCAATGAACCAAACACTACCTTAGAGTTTTACATTGTTGGCAAATACATGATTCAAAGAAAATTGTTCTTTTCTTTTCTTTTTTGAGTTGTAAGTAGGAAATATGATAGAAGGAGAGAGTTTACGGATGGAAGACAGACTCATAGTAATAGACTTTTGTATCAGGACAAGATCAAAGAAGAAAATTGAAAATAAATTATGAAACAAATGTCAAGTGATGATCGATGGCTATTTGTATCAACAGAGTGGCAAACATGCCTTTGGAGAATCCAAAGAGGATTGAATCACTGTTCATATGGAAATTATGATATGAGCCATGATTGAACTTTCTATATTTAGGAACCATAAAAGTTCTTAATTGTGTAGATCAACAAAAAGGAAACTGAGAAGATGATGAGCTAAACTGAAATAATTATTCTAAGGGCACTAATGATGAGGCCAAAGATTATTAGAGCAAAAGAATACGAAACTAAGAAAGGTGGAATAGATACTTCCGTGAATTATTTGATGAAAATCTAAGGCGGGCCCCCACTTTGTTGCTTCCAGTGGCCGCCAAGTGATTATAAGCTGTCATGATGCATCTACCATACCAACCCTTAACAGAATATGTAAACTAGAAATGTAAACACATACCATCATTTGTAATTATATTAGCAGACTGCAGTATAGATTACATGGTTTACTAATGATAGAAGTATTATTACTTTGGTACAAACCAAAACAAGTAATGAACCTTGTACTCCAACAACATTCCAACGGGCAATCTTATCAGAGCAACTCACTGAAAGAGTCGTATCCCCACGACCAGGCTTCCTCTGAACCATGCCAACACCCTTTGCACAATCACCTAAAACATGATTTAACAATATATCCATATAAGCAAATGATGAATTACTTGGTGTTTTTCATCATTTAGAAACCTTGAACTGGTAATCAATATCCAAAAAACATGTATTCCTTACAAAAGGTAATAAAACATGACTAACATAGATCTGCACATATTTATCTCTCATTCTAGCAACAAGCCAACAAGTGTCCATTAAAAGAATCATTTTAAATGAAGCAACAATTAGTAATCCACACAAGAAGCAAGATCTTAGTGAGTCATGAATAAGCATGGCGAACAAAGAATTGGTCGTCCAGTCCACCATTACCATTTTTCCTCATAGAAGCATCTGACCTATCAAATTTACTCAATTCGGATGGTGAGCACCTTCTTTTAAGGGAATAGTTTGCAAAGTAGACAACAATGAATTGACTGAGGCATCCCCACCTACAAGAAAGAAAAGACAATAATGTGCAACCAAAAGAAAGAGTTGAACGTTAACACAATCATAGAAGGATTCAAGGGCATCACCATACTTACATGGCAGCTGTGATATGTATAAATGTAGTTTCCAACCTGCTCTCATTTTGTATTTTCCTTGGCCAAGGCCATCTGTGTCCAAATAAAAAAGTGAGTTTGTGACACCATCACCTTGCAATGGTATGCTTCCATTAGTATGCTGAAGTTTACTGTTAATGTTTGTTAAACAGTGAATCTCCGCATAGAAATACCTGGTAGGATTTAAACATTTTTTTAGATCGCGTTATTGGTAACAATTGATTTGTTTCTACTTAGATTTTTGTTAAGAGCATATCTAATGGGACATATCAAACACATATCTCACACCCTTATTCGAGTGTCAAGTGTCCAATACAGGTACTTCATCCATTTTGAAGAGCCCATGTAACATAGAACATAGTCAAGCCCATATATAGGATGCAGAAACTCCACTACTTTTCTTCTTCTTCTTCTTCTTCTTTTTTTTTTTTTTTTTTTCATACAAAGGCATGTTTCATTAACAGCAAAAGAGATCAGTAGAGGAAGCCAAGCATTTCTACTATTATGCGCACAAGATAAGTGCTAAAATCCATGGAAAATATGAATCACCTTGCTTGTTTCCACTTTTCAAAAAACACTTTTCAGAAAATTCTACTTTTTTATTTTCCATGTTTTTTTGTTTTTACTGAATTTTTTTAATATTTTAAGCAATTTTTTTACTTTTTAGACACACCTAACATAAATACACCTAAAAAGTAAAAAAATTGTAAAAAAAAATCTTTTAAAAATTCACTAAATACCAAAAATATAAAAAAAAAAATACAAGAATTCAGTACATTTTTTGTATTTTTATGTATTTATTAATTTTTTAAAATATTTTTTCATAAATTTTTTACTTTTTAGATACATCTAAGTAAGGTGAATCTAAAAGAGTAAAAAAAAATGTTTAAAATTTAAAAAATATTCACTAAAAACAAAAAAAAAAACACGAAAATCAAAAAAATCAGTTTTCAAAAAACTTAATCCAGAAAACTCAAACCAAACACACTAAATAATACTCTAAAATTTTGCTGCCAAATTCTCAAAAACCCTAGTATGAAGAAAAAATGGGGGAATTTTCACTTTACCCCCTGTGATTTGGGTTGGGTGCAGATTATTCCCTAACATTTGAAAATAACCACGTAACCTCCCGTAGTTACTGGATTGAAGTGCACAGTTAATACCGTTAACAACAGAAGTAAAAGACTATTTTGCCCTTATATATATAACCCTTGTTTACTATTCCTCATTCAACAGTCGTTTTGAGAAAAACAAGGATTGTGTGAAGATTCGATCAACCCGTGACCGGGTCGACCGGTTCACCGGTTTTCACAAAATAGCCCGGTTTTTTCAATTGGCCGGTTTAAGAGGGTTGACCGGACCGGAACCCCATCCGGTCACCGGTTCAACCGGTTGAACCGGCCGGTCCGGTCCGGTTTTTAAAACCATGGTTTCATTAATAGCAAAAGAGATCAATAGAGGAAGCCAAGCATATCTACTATTATGCGCACAAGATAAGTGCTAAAATCCATGGAAAATATGAATAATACTCTAAAATTTTGCTGCCAAATTCTCAAAAACCCTAGTATGAAGAAAAAATGGGGGAATTTTCACTTTATCCCCTGTGATTTGGGTTGGGTGCAGATTATTCCCTGACATTTGAAAATAACCACATAACCTCCCATAGTTACTGGATTGAAGTGCACAGTTAATACCCGTTAACAACAAAAGTAAAAAGACTATTTTGCCCTTATATATATAACCCTGTTTACTATTCCTCATTCAACAGTCGTTTTGAGAAGAACAAGGATTGTGTGAAGAGAATTTAGGGTTTTCACATGTGAAATTAGGGTTTTGATTTAACAAATTAATTTAAACAACATAATTTTTATCAAACCATGTAAACAAACACAGTGACTAGTTCAAAAACTTGCTCTTTCCAAGTGGAAATTGTCAATTACAAATGCAAGTTCTTTATTATCCAAAACCATGTAAAGAAACACAGTGACTAGTTCAAAAATCCATGTAAAGAAATACAAGTTGGTCGAAGATGAACTTCACCAAATAGAACCAGAAAGATACAAACAAATCAGAGAGAGAGAGAAGCAAATGGTAATTGCACAAAGAGAGAGAAAGAGAGAGCGCTTGATTATTGATTGATTTATTTACTTGCAGATTTCTACTTTATTGGATTTGAATTTTTCTGCGTTGAATCAGTGATCAGCATCTGGGTTATCCAAGTTTGTTGATTTCATTTCATTTTCCTCTCCTCCCTAGCACTAGGGATGGGGACCCGACCCCCGACCCCGATTAGAACGGGTTTTCCCCAAAAATAATCCCGAGAGCGCTTGATTATTGATTGATTTATTTACTTGCAGATTTTCTACTTTATTGGATTTGAATTTTTCTGCGTTGAATCAGTGATCAGCATCTGGGTTATCCAAGTTTGTTGATTTCATTTCATTTTCCTCTCCTCCCTAGCACTAGGGATGGCAATTTGAACCCGGCCCGACGGGGACCCGACCCCCGACCCCAATTAGAACGGGTTTTCCCCGAAAATAATCCCCATAGGGCCAGGGATGGTATTGAAAATTAAATCCCCGTTAATTTTCCGGCCGGGGACGGTGATAGGTTCCTTGGCCCTGGCCCTGGCCCCGGCCCCGAATAGTCCCCTATATATATATATATATATATGTTTAGGAGTGCACTGGATATATATGTTTAGAAGTGCACTGAACAATATCTACAATATTATATTATATCTAATATAATGGCCCTATTTGGTAGAGCTGTAGGAAAGTGCTTATAGCTTATGCCTAAGCAGCTTATAGCTTATGCCTAAACAACTTATTGCTTATAACTATGAACATAAACTGATTTCTGACTTATAAATTAAGCATCTCCTGCCCCACTCAAAGAATAAGCTGATTTCTGACTTCCAAAAAGCTATAAGCTATAAGCTATAAGCTAAACCAAACACATCAAAATAGCTTAAATTAAGCTGAAAGCTGAAATAAGCTGCTTTTAAGTTCTGCCAAACATGCACAATATCTACCTCAACTCAACTTAATATCTATCTGAACTCTCTCTCCCTCACTGACTTCTCTCATCTCTCTTTATCCCTCACTCACTGACTCAGATCTCTCTCTGTCTCCCCGGTCTCTCATCTCTCTCTCTCCCTCACTGACTTCTCTCATCTCTCTCGATCCCTCACTCAGTGACTCAGATCTCTCTCTCTCTCTCTGAGTCTCACCATTTCTCTCATCTCTCTCCCTCACTCACTCACTCACTCACTCAGCAAACATCCAAATCCACCACCACCGATCTGAACAGATCCTAAACCATGGCTCGTCTATGAAGCCTCCGTTGCCACCGATCTGAACAGGACCAGGGCCGTAACCGTAACCGTGACCGTGAAGCCCCCCCTCTCTTTCTCTCTCTCTCTCTCTCTCTCTATATATATATATATATATCTGTTGTTGATGTTTTAATTTTTTTCTAAGTTGTTATATATATATATATATCTAAGTTGTTGCCACCGATTTGTTGTCTGTTGTTGTTGATGAACAATGTTGTTGATGATTGTTGTTGATCTGAATAGTTGGTGTGGGTGTGTGTATTGTGAACAGATAAGTCGGGGATTTTTCGGAGTCGGGGAAACCCGATCCCCGTTAGGGGACGGGGGTAGGGGAGGTAATAGCTTCCCCGCCGGAGATCAGAGGCGGGGACGGGGATGTTTTTACCTTCAGGGATCAGGGACGGGGAGTGGCATCCCCAGCCCCGCCCCGGCCCGTTGCCATTCCTACCTAGCACACATTTTGTTCCCTTATGAACTTTAATTTTCTTTTTACCCAATATATGCAGCAAGTTTACATGTACTTCCGAGGCAGTGGCAACGCTACAGATGGGAAATAGAGGGGTTGTAGAGATATTTACCTATGGGTTTCAAAATTTGAGTGATTTAATCTTCAAAATCTTGGGCTTGTTTGGTTTGTATCTCAAAATATAATTTTTGAGAAAAAATTTCAAAATTTTGTCTGGTTCAAATTTTTTGAAAAAAATTTCCAAAATCATTTTCTTTCCTACACATCAATCAATCACTTTTTCTCTCACACACATCTACTCAACTACAACAAAATATCAAATCATCCCAAGCTCCCAAACTCCAAAACTATTTTCAAAATATACAACTAAACATACCAAAAAAATTTCTAAACTCTCTTCCCAAACTTTTTTTTGAAAATTTATCTCAAAACACAAACCAAACACACCCCTTATCTTTCTGAAGAAATTTTCCGTTGGATTTGCAAAGAAACCTAGGGCTTCAAACTTTTCAGAGTTTGATTTCTAAAATTGATCCTTTTTCCAGGGAGATTTTGAGTGTTCAGTCGGTTTGGGGCTGTCGCCGTTGCTTGGCCTCGCCGCCGCCGCCGCCGCCGCCGCTTGGCCTCACCATCGTCGCTATGGTGTATGGGTTAGGGTCCAAATCACCGATCCAAACCGCCTGGGATTAGGGGTGTGCGCGGTGCGGTTTGGGCGATTTAAGAGTAAAAATATAAATCGAATGACGGATTAGCAGATTGACAGGTTGTTAAATTACAGTTTGAGCGGTTTTGGGAAGATTGGCGGATTTAATGATATTCTAACCAATTATTAAGTTTTTGCATAATATATAACACTAATTTGCATAATATTTTTCATATATATGTAACACAAATTAATTTTACATAACAATTTTCATATCTATAACCACTAATTTGTAAACAATTTCACATATTAAATATCTTTCACACTCATTTTTACTTTGAAATTTCATTATAGGTTGAAATATATATATATATTAACCATAGCAGAGCGAAGCAGTTTCAAAAGCGGATTATAAATTTTAAAGTTTAAACCGCGGTTAGCGGATGAAGTAGTATGGATTGATACGGATCGGTGCGGTGCGGTGCGGATTGGACGGTATTTTGCACAGCCCTAATTGGGATCATAAGAGGTAAAGGAATGGTAGGGTTGTAATTTTAGAGACTTATTAGGGTGTTTTGATCTGAAAAAATCTCATACTCATAACAACTCTCAACAAATGCGCGTGAATTACACTTTTGGTTAGTTTTGATAGAAATTGTAACTGTGCAGTTCAATCCAGTAACCACAGGGGGTTATGTAGTGATTTTCAAATGTCAAGGGGTAATCCGCACCCTTTATGTTTGATCACTTTTCCACTTTGGTCTTTAAAGTTTTTCATACTTTGACCTTTTATATTTGGGGTACTTACGTGTAGGTCCTAATAAGTGGACTTATTATCTAATAGGTCCTATGAAAAAAATTTGTCAAAAAAAAAATCATTAATTGTAAGTTTTAGTGACAAATTATAAAAATCGTGACAAATTATAAAAATCATGACAAAAAAAATCAATAATTGTCAATTTTTAGCGATGTAGGTAAAAAATTGTCACAAAAAAATTATTTTTAGCGACAATTTTACCAAGACTTATTTTCAATAGAACTTGATGGGATTTAAGTCTAACTATTAAGACCAATTAGTAGTGTACCCTTTATGGGATTCAAGTTTTTTCCAAATTACCCCTAAAGTTAATTTTTGTTCAAAATTAGACCAAAAATACTATAATAATTGTCAAATAATATGAAAAATATATTATTATATTAAAATTTAAATTTATCTTACTTAGCGAGGTGACTTATATATAATAAAATATTTTTATGTCAAATGACTGTTAATGTGTCATTTTTTGTCTAATTTTTAACAGAAATTAGCATTATGAGCAAACTGAGAAAAACTTAGAAATATGAAGGGTCAAAGTAGAAAAAAATAAACTTTAAGGGCCAAAGTGAAAAAGTGACCAAAGATAAAATGGGCAAAGTGTAATTTACCCTAAAAAAAAGCTGCTTGGATTGAAAAGCCAACGGAACGAGATTTATACAGTCCGTATCATACTCTTTACAAACCATAAAAAGTTCTAATGTAAATTCAAGCATAACAAGCACACTTCTCAATCACAATCCTCTATAATACATAATCACAATGCAGTTTATAGGATCAAAAACAGAAAGACACCTCAATAAGGCTCTTCGAGCTATAATTTCAGCATGTGAATCGTTCACAATGTCGCCTCGAGGACTCAAAAGCGATCGTCCAATACATTTTGTCCCCGTTCCAAGCGCAACCACTTGCAATTCTGAATTGTAATTAAAAAAAAAAAAAAAAAAAAAAAAAAAACAGCAATAAGAATTCAATTTCAATATAGAACAAATTTACATAATTTTCAATTCAGTGGAGACTCCGAGTAGTGAAGTCGGTTTGGAAAAAGGAAAAGAAAATAAGAGTTTTCTTGGAAGCCAAACAGAGGGCAAAAGAAAAGGGGACCTTGAGAAGGAGAGGAGAGGAGAAACGAGGCGAGAACGGAGACTTCGCGGCCCTGAGGCTTGCCTTTCTTAGAGAGAGAATTGTAGAGAGAGAGCACTGCCTCTGAGATCTTCTCTCCCCATTTCTTCTCCGGCGCCGCCGTAGAAGATGAAGAAGAGGAGAGTTCTGAGTGAGAATCCATCTACCTCCGCTCCCCTTGAGCAATTTTTGGGCACCCATATTTTTAGGCCTTATTTATGAAAATAATTAATTAATTAAATATCGATTAGACTATTTAGAATATATTTGTCTTAAAATAAAAATAAAAATAAAGAAAAGTATTTGAGACACTACATAAAATTCTCATAATGATATATAATGATAAGTGTTAGATTTTGACTAAAGGTGAGTAGCAGATTGCTTTTTGGACGGATGCGTGATATCGAGTGGATGGTTGCGGATTGATTTTTTTCAATCCGTCAATCTAACGGATGGATGGCGGATTTGAGATTCCTTTAGCCACAACCGAACCGCCAAACTGCGAACACCCCTAATAATTTATAAGACTTTGTGTTTTCAGTTTGTTTAAATATTTTGTTTATATTTTTAATTAAAAAAGAGTTTAAATATTCTGTTGAAAAAAAGTTTTCAACTTGAATATCTTTTTTGAATTGAAAAAAATAAATGTATTATTTAACTATATTTTTTGATTTTTAAATCTATCTCTAAAAATAATTGAGAGGGAGATTTATGATTTGGTTTGGGCCGTGGTAAGGACCGGACAAATTGTGGGCCGAACACATTTGGGCCGTGGCAGCCTGGGCCCATCCAAAAAGGATTTTCGCTCGATAACGGCACAGTTGCTGTGAAACCAAGCAAGTAGCTCGGTAATGACATAGTTGCTCGGTAATGGCATAGTTGCATAATTGATGTCGTACTAGCGGTCAAGTGAGATTCGCCCGAGATGTTTGCTGCCTCATTGGGTTCCACGGTTCATGCGTTAGCTCGGCAGGAAGGCCGACGACTAACCAGCATGACTTATCCCGAGCTCGGTCGTCATTGAGCTTGGCGAGCAGAGCGCTCTGGCTAGCTGCGCAGCACGGCCGTTGACAGCCGAGATGCTGCAATCCGGCTGCCAAGCTCCCAGTGGTGTGGCCTGGCAGTTAGGTGATGTTTAGCTAGATTTATGCTGACAGATGGGATAGTAGCACCACGTGTCGAGAGACTAATGAGAGTAGATTTGGGGCGCAGAAGGTATATAAGTGAGTCTGCGCCCCCCACGCTGAGGCAAATAAACATTTGGTGAGATTTACACTAAACACTCAATCCTTTTTTTGAATTGAAAAAAATAAACGTATTATTTATCTATATTTTTTGGTTTTTAAATCTATCTCTAAAAATAATAAATAGAAAATATGATATATGCTGGTTGGTTTTTATTTTAAAAAACAGATATAGATGTAACAATACAAAGATATACAATCTCTACAACTGCTTTATTCATGGTTTTGGTGGTTTGAATTGTTTTTATATTTTAAGAACCACATATTATAATATTTTATGTGGATGAGGCATGCAGTAATTATAATATTTTTTTAAGTCATTAACTGTAATACTTTCCTCTTCTTTTTTTGAGGAAATACACAAGTTGAATTATGTTGAAAATTTATAAAATTTTAAACCGCCAAACCGATTCACCTCCATCCGCCAAACCGTCAATCCGCTCAATCTACATCCGCCGGATTGGCGAACGGATACGAATTGATTTTCTCCAATCCACCAATCTGGCAGACGGATCCGCTAGATTGGCGGATTGGAGGTTCCGTGGCCGTAACCGACCTGCGCCCACCCCTAATTTATCATATATTCAATTATAAAATGGTGCTACATCCTTTAATAGATCACTCTCATTTTGACCTCTAATAAGGTGGAAGAGAAAGACATAGGGAGAGGAGTGTCGGTCCACCCCTTCACATGGTTTATTTCATATTAGAAGTGAGGGTGCTCAATTAGAGCTCCCAAATATTGTTCTCAATTATGTGGTGCTCTACTTCATTGTCCCATCATTGTGAGTGCATTTAGGGGTCTCAAATGTAACTCTCAAACAAATGTTTAAGACCTACACAAAATCTCTCGCAATGTTATCCACAATGATGTGAAAGACACATGTCAACTTTTAATTTATTATTACTTTGTTGCGTAGGGCTTATCTTTCATTTCACATCATTGTAGGTCAAGATCCAAAGTGTGGATCTATAGCACTACTCTTTTATACACAAGTCACGTGTTTTTTAATGAGAAATGTGATGAAAACATGTAACTATCAATATTTAATCAATTTGATATAAAACAATTTAGGATAACTTGCACTCATGTCTCTTAAGATTTGAAAAAAAATATAGTTCACATATTTGACATAAGGACAGTAACCTTTCTTTTAGTATGATTAAAGTGATTCAAACTAATATTAATGATAGGTAGATAGTAAAATAAATAAAGATAAATATAAATTTTAATTAGAAATAGATGATAGTATCTTCTCTCTTTTTTTTCATTCATATAATTAATTAATTATTGATGAAAAATGACTTTAGTATTATGTGAATTAAAATTTCAAAGAAAGTCAGTATAATTATTTCAAAAATATGAGATAAATAGTAGTTTTTCCAAATATTAAGAATGATACGAAATTGGGAGAAAAACTGATGGAAAAATTGAAGTACTTTATTCACTGTAATCAGCTACTTAAATAGTAGAGTACATGAACTAATACAGTAACAAATAAGGGGCTTAGCCTGTGTTTGGCAAGTGAGTTTGCAAGCTTTTTTGGCTATTTTAGCCACAAAAAACAAAATAGCCTATTTTAGCCATAACAAACAAAGCATCACATCCAACCCATAATCATTACATTCTTCTCTCACAAAAAAACTCAAAAAAGCCAAAAAGCCAAAAAGCCCTTCCCAAACCAAGCTTTTAAGTCCAGGCTAAAATAGCCAAAAAAGCCAAAAAGCCAAAAAGCCAACACACTTCCCAAACGGAGGCTAACTGACTGTGGAAAAACAAATTTAGGAACTGACTAACCACAGTTGTAACAGACTCCTATGGACTTGGTAAACTAACAGACTCCTAAAAATTTGGACAAGCAAAGACTTAATCAAATTAAACTTTTAACACCCTCCCTTAAACTGAGTGCTCTTTTGACATTTAGTTTATTTAGAGAACTTCACCAGCTCATTTAGTTGCCTCCCTCAAATTGTATTCTCTATTGAACAAACACCAAGCAATCTCCGTAGCTTCACGAAAATGGCCAATTTGAGGGGTTTGGTTAGAATATCAACAACTTGATCTTCACTTCTGCAGTAGATCAGATCAATGGTTTCATCCTTTGTGAGATCCCGTAAGAAATGATACCGTACATCAATATGTTTGCTTCTCCCATGTAGAACAAGATTTTTTGACAGTTTGATTGCTGAACTACTATCACAATACACTGGAGTGGGACCTTGTTGATAATAATGTAATTCTTCAAGTAGTCTCCTCAACCAAATTGCTTGACAAGCACACGACGCAGCAGCAACAAACTCTGCTTCGGTAGTGGACAAAGTAACAATTTGTTGTTTCTTTGAGGACCAAGAAACAGCACCTGAGCCCATTATAGAGACATAACCTGAGGTGCTTCTTCTATCATCTGGATCACCTGCATAGTCACTATCAGTGAAACCAAGTAACCCAAAATTTCCTTCCTTTCTATAAAGAATACCAAAATTAATGGTCCCAACCAAGTATCTGAAAATTCTTTTGGCAACAAAGAGATGCAACTGCGTAGGATTTTCCATGTATCTGCTGATAAGACTTACTGCGTGCATAATGTCTGTCTTGGTTGTAGTCAAATACATAAGACTTCCGACGATTTACTTGTAAAGGGTGCTATCTACTTTCCTCCCTTCATGGTCTTTGATTAGCTTAAGACCATGTTCAACTGGTGTAGTAACTGAATTACAATTCGCCATTTGAAACTTGTCCAGCATTTCTCGAACATATTTCTTCTGTGAAATAAAGATTCCAGCAGAAGATTATGCTACTTCAATGCCAAGAAAGTAGTGCATGAGTCCAAGATCAGACATTTCAAACTCAATCATCATTGATTGCTTGAAATTATCAAACATAGCACTATTGTTTCCAATGTAGATTATATCGTCCACATATAAACACACAATTAAAATCTCACCAGTAGATTTAGATTTGATAAACAAAGTATGCTCATATGGACATTGTTGAAAGCCTGATTTGGAAAAATATGTAGCAATGCGACTATACCAAGCTCGAGGAGCTTGTTTTAGCCCATACAGGGCTTTTTTTAGCTTGTATACCTTTTTCACATTCCCTTGTTGCACATACCCCGGAGGCTGATCAATATATACTTGCTCTTGCAAATCATCGTGTAGGAACGCAGATTTTACATCCATTTGAAAGATTGGCCATGAGTTTTTTGCTGCCAATGTGTAGACACCCCATTTTTGACCGTCCTCAAGACTTGGACGTCACCGTTTGAACACTCGGTGATCATCCATGTTTGTGTTCATTTGGAGTTCCCGGAGGTCTCGGCTACGCGCCTTGTCTCAGGATCTCCGAACTCGACTGTTTTGTGCTTGGTTTATAGGTCGACCCACCCTGCCCCCGAAAAGTCAGTACAGCAGGCAGGGCGGGCCAGCCAGCCCCCCGTCCTCCCTGAGCTCCGCCTCTGCCACGGACTCGGGCCCTCCTCGAA